GCCCCCGGCCCCAGCGCCTTCAGGGGGTGGCCGTGGCGAGCCCAAGGGGTCTCTAACCCTGCCTCTGCCCTGCCCTGCTCCCCAGGTGAGGCGCTACCAGGTTCTGCTGTCGCTGATGCTCTCCAGCCAGACCAAGGACGAGGTGACCTCGGCGGCCATGCTGCGCCTGAGGGAGCGCGGCCTCACGGTGGACAATGTTTTGCAGACAGATGACGCAGCTCTCGGGAGGCTCATTTACCCCGTGGGCTTCTGGAGGGTGAGTGCCAGGCCCCAGAGCGGGCCACGGGTCTGAGTGAGCGCTGAGCAATGCCCCTACCTGGGATCCAGGCTGTTGGAGCTGTCCCTGGGGGCACATGTCCCTCGCTCCCCTTCCTTCCCGGGTGCTGCCCTTTGCAACTGCAGCCCATCACACTCGCGGCCTTCCTGCCTTGCCACTGTTTTCCTCACTGCGGACTCTTGCTCCTTCCCCTTTGCAGCTGCTCTCCAGGTTGCAGCGTGCAGGCAGGCCTGTCATTTCCCCATCGTGTCTTCCTGAGAAAGTCCAGCCCCATCCGTGCAGTTTGACCCCGGCTTTGCAGCCTGTGTCCAGGATGAAGCTGCATTTGCTGGCAGCATCCTGGACATGCAGAGACTGGGGCTGGGTGCCTCCTGGGATACATCAAGGGCATCTTTCTTTGCCTGCAAGCCCTTTATCCCTCCAAACTAAGTCAGTGCTTCTCCAGCCCGTGTTTCGCTCCTGCATTGGCTGTGTGGGAGCTCAGTTTCCTGTGCTGTGCTTTGGTTTCCCAGAACAAGGTGAAGTACATCAAGCAGACGACCGCGATCCTGAAGGAGCAGTACGGGAGCGACATCCCCAGGACAGTCAAGGAGCTGGTGAAGCTGCCGGGCGTGGGGCCCAAGATGGCCCACTTGGCCATGAACATCGCCTGGAACGATGTGTCTGGGATAGGTATGTGTCAAGGTCTGCCATCGGCCTCCATCTTCCATTTTTGACTCACCTGATCCAGTTTCTTGGCAGTGTGGGAAGACTCGGAGCCTGGGGACGTGTAGAAAATCAAAGAATCATAGAAATTCAGGTGGAAGGGACCTCAGGAGGGCACATCTAGTCCAACCCCTGCTCAAACCAGGGAAGTTCCTGCGTTCCCCAGTGACTTCTCCCACTTCCACTTAACTCTCTGCCAAATCAGCCCTATTCCAGTCTCCCGGGTGCCCTGATAACCATGAAGGCTCAGTAGGGAATTTCTGTCAAGGACACGTGCCTCCACACAGCTCCCCTGACGAAAGAGGCCCGGGACCACCGGTGTGAGGGGCAGTCTGGGATAACCTTTCCATTTAAAGGGGTTTGCTGGTTTAAGCCACCCACCCCTTTAGAAGCTGCCCTGCTTGCCCTCGCTGGGGCAGGCACAGATGGGGCAGCTGCTGGTTGAAACAGCTCCGCTGCTGGGCAGGTTTGTTCACCTGCCGCACCCCAGGCTGGATTTGTAGGAGCTTTCTGGCTGCTGCAGGGAGTGGGGGAGGCCTCGTAGCAATTTAAGTGATTAATGACAGTGGAGCCCCACCCAGCGTTGCCATCCACCACCTTGGGTGTCTTGACACGGCAGGCGTTTCCACCGGCTGTCATCCCCGACTCGCACGGGGCCGGCTGAGGCGGCAGGGCTCAGTTCTGCCCGCGGTCGGGGGCTCGGTTGTGCCCCGGGTCTGGGCTGGCGCTGGACCCCAGGAGCTGAGAATTTGGGTGCTCCTGGATTTGGACTTGCAGGCAGGTGGCGCTGAGAGACCAGGCTGTCTGCCGGGCTGGGCCTGAGCACCGGGTACTCTTGACGGTCTCTGGGGTGCGATCCATATTCCACGTGCATTTGCTGTTTAATCGGAGAGGCTCATGGGGACGCCGGCAGAGCGCCCCGCTGGTGAGCGACTCGGCCGAGGAAGCTGGGAGGGAAAATTCAGTCCCCAGGTCACCACGTTCTTTTCCATAATGGGGTTTATCCACCTCGGCTGCTCTTCGCTCCATCCCTCGCTCTGGAACTCAGCTCCTCGGCTCTCTCCCCGTACAAAAGCAATCCTCTGCCTGGCGTGTGGTTGAGGCTGGATCTCCTCCGGTTCCAGCTGTGTTTTGTGCCCAAAAGCTTGCCTGACCTCTGCCACCCCTGAGCCTGGCATTCCAGCTGGGGACAGGCAACGAAGCTGCGCTCTTCCTGTTTACAGCCCTGTCCTGGGCTGGGTTCAGTCAGCCGGGGGAGCCCGGCTTATCGCCGCCGATCTAACAATAACACGCCGCGAGTTCAGAGCTCTTCGTCTGGGCTTCTCGCAGCGCTTTGTGCGCTGTCAGTAGGCGTCACGGCCTCTGCGAGCAGCCAGCGTCACCAGAGCGCTTTCCAGCCGGGGTCACAATTTGCCGAGCGTTGGCTGAGGCTTGGCTGAGTGGCGAGGGGCAGGGGAGGGTGACTGGTCTGCTTGGGGGCTCGGCTCTTGCTTCTGCCTCTGGGCAGGTGAGCCCAAGCCAGTCGCTGCCCCAGCCCTACCAGGAGACCTCTCCCCTGGCACCCCTGCCGGGCTGAGCGTGCCCCCGTCTGATTACGCCCTCTCCACCCCCAGGTGTGGACACCCACGTGCACCGGATTGCCAACCGGCTGAAGTGGGTGAAGAAGGAAACCAAAACCCCCGAGGAGACCCGTGTGGCACTGGAGGACTGGCTGCCCAGGTGAGGAGCCTGCCGCCGGGGGGGGATGTGGGCTACCTTCCCATGGCAGAAATCCAGGCCCCCCCACCCATCAGGAGCCCTTGGGCTTGGCTTGTCACCCTCCCAGGAGACCACTGCCAGCTTCTGCCCCCGGGAAGCATCTTCCATTACTTAGCGCAGCTCACAAGGAGACACAGCTGCCCCAGGGCATTGGCTGTGAGCTCAGGCCCAGTCCCTCCTTTCTCGTCATGGAGCCAGCGATGCCCAAGGCTGAGGCCGCAGGGCATCTCTCCTCTCACGGCAGCGGTTCTTTAAGCTGCTTGGATGTTTTGCAGCTGTCCGAAGCGTCAGCCTGGGGCTGGGTCACTGCAGACTGTCTTAATGCAGTGCTGGCCCCTCGTGCTCCTTGGGGCCTTGGGCCCGCACCACGGCCTGGCTCTGCTGGTCTCAGGGCCACTGGGTAGGGATGAACTCAGGCCTGCCTTTTAAAAGCCATGCAGGAGCTTCCCTGCACATCATGCTCTGAGCAAATGTGCACTGGTAATTACAGAGTCCCGTGGGGCACATCCACCCACGCCCCAGCCTGCGGGCACTCCTGTGAGCCAAGGCAGTGCCATGGAAATGGGTGGGTGAGTACCAGGGGGAGCACAGCTGAGTCACGCCAGCGTGGTCAAGCAGAGCCTGCCTGTCCCGGCCCGTGGTGAGCCTTGTGCATGCTGTAGGCCACGCCTGAAGCTGCGTTTGCCCAGGGAAAGCCTCCACAGCCAGGGCCGAGGGGCAGGAAGCGGAGAGTGTGGTGGCAAAGGTCCCCGTTGGACCCGGGTTGGCTGCTCTGCGGTGCTGCACAGGCCCTCAACACCCTCTCCCGTCTCCTCCTCAGGGACCTCTGGAGCGAGATCAACTGGCTCCTGGTGGGCTTTGGCCAGCAGACCTGCCTGCCCGTGGGCCCGCGCTGCGCAGACTGCCTCAACCAGGCCCTTTGCCCTGCAGCTAAGAGGTGCTGAGGGCACGGCCCAGAACCACAGAGCTGCTCCAGGCCTGTCCGGCAACTGCAGTCTGAGCCCAGGGGGAACACGACGGGTGTTACAAGGGCTCTGCTGAGACACTTGGAAGCATCGCAGCCCCCTTGGCTTCTGCTTCCTCCTCTTAAAAGGTAGCCAGGCCTCTGAGTCAGCGCTGCAAGCACGCTCCCCCTGCGGGGACACGTCTAACAGACACGGGGCAGGGATGGTGGGACCTGCTGGGATCAGCGCTGCATGGTAGCACATGTTTAATATAATAAAGGTGATTTTTGTTACACTGGGGCCTTGCTGGCATCCCTGCTGCCTGGGGCATGGGGTAGGGATGGGGCCTCAGCCAAGGACAGAGGGCAGAGCGACTGACAGCAGGGAGGAGGGAAGGACAGATGTCACCCCGCCAACAAGCAATTTTTGCAGCTCAGCTGGGGGATGTTGGGATGTTGCATTTCCAAGAGTACAAAAGGCTGCCGGAGACCAGCTGGGCATTTGAGTTTTGCTGCTGTTGGAGAACAAGTGGAGCAGAGCACTGTGGCAGCACAGAGAACCACGGGGTCATCCGGCTCGGCATTGCCAGCACCATCCCCAGCTGCACGCACCCTCCCAGGGGCAGGCCGGGAGCACTGCAGGCAGAGCTGCTGTTCACGTGGGCTCCTTTCAGCCCAGGGTCCTGCGTTACGTGCTTCCCTGACTCGACCTCTGATGTCCGTGGCACTGCAGGAAAGGCAGCAGCCCCCTCTGCCTGGCCCTCTGCTTGCCACGGAGGGGTGGTCTGCACACGAGGCCATCGAGATCATCACTGAAACCCGTGGCTTCACACCTACAATGGATGTGCTGATAAACTGGTTTGAACAACCTCCCGGGAAGGAGCGTGACGGGGAAGTTTGCTACCGAAACACATGACGGTTCCAACCAAATACTGCCCTGTGCACGAGCCAGCTCAACGGCCGCCCTGAAATGTAAAGCCGTGGTGTCCGACTCGTATAGATCTGGACAGGTTGCAACTTCCCTGTTGCACAAGGGTCACCTGCAGGTCCCAGACTAGTGCTCGGCCTGCACCGCAGACCCATAGGCGGGGAGCTGCAGGCTCGTGGGTCAGGGTCTGCATTAATGGCAGTGGGTGGAGGAGAGAAATCCCACCTTGTGCCTGTTTCAGGAAAGCCTGAAACGTTCTGCGGTTCCCCGCGCCATCAGCCACTAAGGTCTCTAGCTACTCTGAAGGCTGTATGGCAGATGTAACACCAGAAACCCCAGGCAAGTACCAGAGGTGAGGCTTTGGAGAGTCAGAGTTTATCCTGTTTATCCTCCACGCGCTGGAGAAGCGCCGTGTGCCGAAGAGTCGGCACGTCCAGCATTTGCAGAGGTGGGTTCAGACAGGTCCCAGGAAGGATTCCTGAGTCCTGGGGGAATTTCTCCTGCACCAAAACCTGAAGCCCAGACCACACCTGGTGTTCCTGCACACACCCCAGAGAGCAGGGAAGAAAAACCATCCAGACCAGCATCCACCTCGCAAAACAGCCCACACCAAGGTGTTCCCCTTTGCAGGTCACCGCTCAAAGCCAGGGCATGCCCTGCTCCAGGCTGCCTCTTCTAATGACCTTGTCGTGGGGAGGTAGGTATCGCTATCGCGATGCTCTGACTCCTTTCTACCCTTCCTAGCAAAGCACAGGCTGCAATGGAGAGTAGACGGAGCATCCCATAAGCTGTACATGGCAAAACAGGGTTTATTATTGACATGAAAGTATACATTATGTTTTTACAATGCAGAAAACAGCCTTATACTTGTACTGATTTTGAAAGTTAAATGTACAGAAACTGATTATTACAGAGCTACAAGATGTCAGAAATAGTGGTAAGTCCTTTAGCCATGAGCAGTTTCCACGGAGTAAGCAGAGATCATTTTAAAATCTTATTGGTACATGTGTGCATACCTGATTTCCTTTGATCATAATCCAAACCCCCCGCCAACCCCTGCTAGCTTCCCCTCGACTACAGTGGTTCAGTCTTGTGCGAGAATTAACGGTATGTACAGGTTGTGAGAGAATCACTTTTGCTTGCTGAGATGTATGCAAGGATGTATTCGACCGTTTGCCTTGTAAGCGGGGAGATAACGTCCTCAGCAGACCAGGATACGGCTCCAGCTTGTTGGAAATGCAGGGACTAAAAGCAACCTGCCTATCACGAGCGCGTGGAGGGGTTCTCTGATGACTGACTTGTGAAGGAAGCAAAGGTTTCTCGTAGCCAACACGAAACGCCCGCCCCACCTTCGGGTACTTTTGGTAGGTAAATGACACCTCCGTTAGCCGCCAGGCCCCGTACGGGAGACGAGCTCTCCCGGCTGTTGTCGGTCCTATTCGTTTACAGCCAAACACTTGCAGAGTTTTCTTTCCAAAGCTTTGTCTGTGCATCCTCACAAAAAGCAAGCCAACCCACTCTCTCAAAAGCCGCTCCGTTCCTCGTCTTCGATATGGGAACAGCCACGTGCTCAGCTGAACGCCGTGGCATCAGCTGCTGGGGTTCCCTTCTCCCCCGACCGCCTTGCACTGTGCTGGGATATACCCTTCTACTGAAAGTAAGTGTTTATAAGGCACCTTTTTAGCTTAGTATTTATGAAATACACACAGACCCTTGCCAAGACCCATAGTGCACGAAGTCAAAGGCCACTGATTCATTCAGGGTAGCGCGGGGGCAAAATTGAACCATGTGCTTGAGTTCTACGAAGTCCTACGTCCTCGCCCTCTTACGTCTCTCGCTGGGGAAAGGGGTCGCTTTCTACCCTCTGCCGCGTCCGTCCAGTCCTGCTCCGTTCCCCTCGTTAATACTACTTGTGTTACAAAACGTGCCAGCCACAAAGACTGTTTTGTTAGATCTCGGTAAGAAGAAACTGGGATTCGTCCAGCTCCTTGCGGCGTGGACCCTTCCCTGGGAAAACTCTATTGCCTTGAAGCCATTAGTACGTGTTTTAATTCATCTTCCCTTGTACGAAGCCCAGGGTGAGTAGTGAAGAGCTTAAATAGGTTTAATCACAGCGACACGGGCCGGTTTTACAACCCTATCTAATGGAGAAGGCAGCGTGCTGTGAGCATGGAGCTGACCAAAGTTAAAGCAGCTGCTTGCCACCCTGGCTACTGCCCGCGGGAAGGGACGTCACGTGGTGGGCACCGCCGGAGAGGGCTCCCCTGCGCGGTCCGATCTGTGCACCTGACCCCGGTGCCACTCAGGGCCCAGCACCCGGCTGCAGGGAAAGGAGAGGCCTCATCCTGACAGGCTGGGAGTGCAGGTGGAAAAAGATCAGCAGGGGGGCAAAAGGTTGGTAATAGCAGACTGGATGTGGCCTGAGGCACGGTGCCCACATCAGCATCCACGGCGGATGGCTTCTGCAGGGAGCCCCGTCTTCACGAGCATCGTGTCCGTCCCTGGAGGCTTCCTCGCTGGCAGCAGAAGCTGCATCGTGCTTCTCGAGCTGGGCACAGAGACCAACGCGTGTGCATTGGCCGTCTCTCCACCTTGAGATGAAGGGGGGACAGCTCCTCCTCCTCCCCTCCCCATGCCACTCATTTCTGCATGTCGTTATGCAGATCTGAGCCGTGGGGCCCTTGGGTGATTTTGTGTATTTGTTTTCCAGGGTCCGACGAACGCCTCCTCCACAGCCAGCCACGTGGATGGGGCCTGGGATGGAAAAGCTTTGCTGAGAAAGGGGCTTTTATTGTATCGGATCAAGCCAGCCCATGGGGAGGGTGGTTCCAGCGTTAACGAGAAACAGATGGGATCGTTTGCAAAAAAAAAAAAAGCCTTTTCAATGGATAGCAAAGCCAAGGGGAGAGAAACACAGAGCTGCTGACCCCAGTCCCACACCACGAGCAATGACTTCTGGAGCCCGGCTGGGGGGTTCGGCCCGTCTTCCCCTAACGCTGCAGCACGCTTCGATTCCTCCAAGGGAGAATTTGCAAGTCCGAGAGCCCTCGGCAGGAGGCTTTGGAATAAGAGATCCGTCCCGGCTCCGTCCGGGATTCTTGGGGGGCAGGGGGGACCCTAAAACCAGTAAAACCCTAAAGAACGCAGGCCCAGATGACAAAGGAAGCCCCTCCAGTCGTTCCTCGCTGGCGCCGTGGGGCGCCCGGAGCAACGAAAGGGGCTTTGGTCGCATCCTGTTAGAACCGCTTGTCAATAAAAAGATGTTAAAATCTGCCTTGTAAAAGCAACCCATGGAGAGCGGGGCGCAAAGCGACACCAGGGGCAGGGAGCTCGCGTCCGGCGGGTACGTCCGGTGGGGAAGGCAGGGGTGGGCGCGGGAGGGGAGGCGTTGCCGTAGGGCTCAGAAGTTGCTGAAAATCTCCCGCTTCTTGTTCCAGTCCATCTGCGGGGCCCTCTTGTTCACCCGCTTGGCGCGTGCCTTCTCCTTGGCCTCTGCCGCTGTCGGGCTCAGGTTCAGCCCGCTCTCCTCGAACGGGTCCTTCTTCTCCGAGTCCCCCTCCTGCGGAAAGACAGCAGACGTGAGACCCTGCCTTGTCACTGTGTGCTCCCGGCAGCGAGGGCATGGACCGGCCCGGGTGCTGCTAGCACGTGTGTGTATGAGCGTGCATGCACACGTGCCTGGCGATGCTCCTGCTGGGTGGACCTGTGGCTGCCTAATAAAAGACCTTTCAGGACAGATCCAAACCTTCCTTCGCCTGTTTGCTGGGGACAAACCGAGTGCCCTGGGCCCACAGCAACACCTCCCAAGCTTGCAATCTGCATTTCTCTCCTGTGCCCCTGCCTCAGGCCTCCGAGCAAAGCCCCACATCGCAGCCCTCTCCTTTCTGGAGCAGGCACGAGATCCCGTGAAACCCCCGGGAGCCGTTCACGTGCAGGGTGAAACGCCGACTGCCAGACGAAGGGGATTTATACCTGAAAGCTTGCTAGGAAGAATTTTTCCAACTATTTGTGTTGGTCTAATAAAAAAAATATCAGTTTTACCCAAAGAACCTGTTCTGCTAGAGATGCATTAGTTTCCTGGAAGAGCTCTGAGGAGACATTTGACTGCAGGCTTCAAATTGCATTACTGCCTTTCCCTCTTCGGGCTGAGCCCCAAGATCATTTAAGTGGATCTTGGGGTCCATTGAACTGCACTGGCAAAGCAGCGTCACATAGTGCTACTCTGACTCATTTAGTTAGAAGCTGCTTTTAATGGGCCTGCTCTACAGGGAGCTTAATTTAAAGCTTCTGCTTCAGTAATCACATTTGCGTCGAGGAGGGTTGGTAAGAAAACCGCCGCCTGCGGAGAGCTGCAAGGTGATGCCCCCGTGCTTGCAAGACCTGCATGTTTCTATCGCTACAAAAGCCTGGAGGTCTTTGCTGACGGGCTGGGTTTTGGGGGCCCGGCTCCCCACCGCCTCATGCAGCCAAGGGCACCGGTGCAAAGGCAGCGAGCGGCAGTAGCGGGTCTGAACAGCAGCATCGCATGCTCAGGGGTGACGTGAGACCTTCCCCTGCGCTGCCACAGCTCCAGCCACCGCTGTTGGCATCCACCCGGGGATGGCAACAGGCAGATGTGTCCCAGGCAGGGGCCTGGATGAGGCACCTGGATCCTGGTCGTGGTTTTTTGATATGCGACTGATGGTGCCGGGCGTACAAATGAGAAGCGGGGTGGGTGGTTTTCAGAGGAGAGGGCTTGGCCCTGTCTGAAAATTTCCCTTCTTTATGGTGTTTTAAGTTGGAGGACACCCAGTATCGAGGCACTTTCACCCTCTGGCCAATGCACGGTTTCATCCAGACAGGAGCATGGCATTGCATGGCAGGGCCGAGACGGACGTTTTGAGCATCTTTTGAAAGGTCCCTGACCTCTGACTCGCAGCAGCGGGTTTTAAAGGATGTTATAAAGCTAATCTACTTCCTTCCCTCCTGCCCTCACTTCAGCCACGGGGTCACCGTGGGCCTTTCATGCAGCTCGGGCATCGCTGCCAGTTATCGGGCACCGCTACAGCCCGGAGGAACGGCT